TTTCTCCGTACCGCTATATTTTCGAAGGCTGAAATTTTATGTGTAGGTTCGCTTTGTGTTATAGATATGCAATAAAAAAGGATTTCTAAATATTCCAAATAGGTACGCCCCTCGTGGGGATAAAGGGGGAGCGTTTACATATGAAAATTACCTTTTCATAACTGTTTCTCCGTACTACTATATTTTCGGAGGCTGACATTTTGTATGTAGGTTCTTTTTATGTTGAAGATGTGCAATAAGAAGGGATATTTAAAAATTACAAATGGGAAACCAGCCGCAGGGGAAAAAGGGGTGTTCATAAAATAAAGTTACCTTTTCGGAGCCTGAAATTTTTTGTATGGATTCATTTCATATTGTAGATGTGCAATAAAGAAGGATATCTGAATATTCGCTAGTGTTTCATATATTCATTTTAAATGAATACACTTTCATATATCACAAATTATATGTTTGGACTGCAAAATGAATCCGAAAAAGTGCTTTTCATGTTATGTAATGGTCATATTCTTATTTCGGTTCATACCCAGATATAGCTTGTTTTCCAACGATCAGTAATCTTGAATACTCGTACTTGATAAATAATTTTTCAAAGTAAGCACGGTTATGATAATGTATTCCAATTGAGAGTCCTTCGGCAATACATTTGAATCAATTAACACTAAACAAGCATATCAAGTATTTCACCTTCATTGATATAGGTGTGTCAAATATATTGCTGAATATTTAGTCAACTGTTTTTGAAGTTCAATATATTACTACAAATAGCAAGGTCAATGAAGAAGAATATAGGTTAATGTTGCACAGATCAAAATTACATTCACATAACTATCAGAAATCAAATAAATCTTATTTGTACCAAGAAAGTGAATATTTCGAATTGGAATTCGAAATTCCTAGCGTCTAGCAAATGCCGCCAGAAAATTGTCAATTCTCTGGCTAATATCAAAGCGAAAATTAGATTATATTTGACAGATATTTGGGTATATTTTCTCTCAGAAGAAACTATTGTAGATTATTCTCGCTCGTGCAGCAACAGAAAATTGTTAAATCAATTCAGTAAACAACTACATACGGATTTCAGAGAGTTACTACCCGTCTGTTGCCTTGTACTCGACTGATTTTATCGACGCTCCAGCGCATATAAGAAACTTTCGTCTG